ATAAGAATATATTGGTGTTCAGTCAAATTTAATCTCTGTAGTCTTTAAATCTATGATCACAAGAAAATGAACATTGCATTAATCAGAATCTCAGATAGTGTAAAAGCAAAAAATTTAGATTTTCAGAACAATCTTAATGTGGGACAATAAGATAACAGGATTAGTAGTAGTGTAAATGAATAAGAAGATATGCACATAAGATAAAGAAAACTTGTGAAGTAAGAAAGATTAGGTCCTGCCTGTCTAGTCTAGAGTGATAAGGAAAATGATGGTTAACAGTACCCTGTATATATACTGCAAGAAACAGAAAATACAGAAATAGTTAAAACTCTATCTGTTCCTAAAAAAAATAAGGATTGAGCTCAGAAATCTCATTTTATGGTCAAGGGGAAAGAGTCGAGTAACTTGTGAGAAATACAGCCAGATCACCACCTGGCAGGACCTCCTGTGTTTAGGGGTTATCTGCAATCTGAGGCAAGTTCACTGTCTTGTCAGAACTATGTAAATGCTGCATACTTTCGCTACTTGGCCTTTGAAAACAAGGTTTATGTTGCAACCTCTGACCTTTTCTCAGTGGTTGGTCCAAGAGCCAGCATACTGAGTGGTCAACATGACAAGGAGCTTACTGCAATAAAATTTATTCCCATTCCCTCCCTTTTAAGATACAGTACTTGCAATGGTAAGGCATGAACGACTGCAAGGTCAATACCAAGGTGTCAGTTAGGAGGCCTATCATCCTAAACTTCTGATAATGGCTTCTGCATTTTCAGGAGCTGCCTGGCAGGAGACATCATAGCTAAAAATTCCAATGTCATAGTGCTGGTGTGAATATATTCTCCTACTTCCTTTGGGAAATTATCATAGGCATAAATAACCATGAAGGGAATATCACTTACCACAACCATAAAGAGAAACGCTAGCTAAAAGGCGATTATGAAAGATCTCAAAGACAAAGGCAGTTACACGGGAAAATATGAAATCAAAACAACTCGCAGTACTCAATAACTTTAACAATTGCAAACACAGGAAATCTTTATTCGAATCAGATAGATAGAAGCTTTTTTGCATAATACTGCAAAGTAAAATCTATGATTAAAAATTCCACGAAGAGAACAAAAAAACCAAGTACAGTAATACACGTTATCAACTTACAGGCATGGGAAACTGTAAATGCTGAAATTCATAAACTTAATGACAGAATTTTAAGCCAAGTGATCCAGCAAGGGCTTCATCCGAAGAATCATTCGACTCACTGGCTCCAAGCAACCAACAAGCCAGGGGCTGAGTTTATTTTATTCTCCTTGGTTCAATGGCACCAAATTATTTATGCAGCCTTTCCATTGATCTGACAAAACAGTGTTCCTACCTTACAATGCACGGCCTTTAGACAATGCAGGTTATGCCAGAAATTCCTTCTGGTGGTTTTTCTCACATCACTTGACAAATGATCTATATGCTATTAAAGATTGCAATACCCTGTATGCTGTAATAAAAAAGGGGGGACAGGGGATAAGGGAAGAAATACAAGACTTTTTTCAATCTTCTAGGCATTTTCACACTACAGCATATTGGAAAACAGTCAGATCCCAAACACGGACTCTCCCTTCATTATTTTACTACTGTAACAGAAGTGTACTTTCATGATACTCCCCTCCCACAGCAGGGTCTCAAGATATCTAAATGATATACCTTTCACTTCACACAAATTAACATCAACCACCAGAAGATTGTCCATCCCCAGACACCAATTAATGCCATTCACTCGAGTCATTTACAATCCCTGATGCTTCCTAAGTTCCTCCCTTCACTTCTCTTTGCCTCCTTACCATCCACCTCTGAATTAAACACGCTTTTTACCCATCTTTCACTTTCCATTCTCTAAACATATTCATACCACCTTACTAAACTTCACACCTCTTCCTCATGAGGTATGAAAGGCAACAAAACAAACCATATAACAGAATTTGAAACTGATTTAGAAAAGTCCAAATGACTACAGTACATGAAATTGAACACTGTATCTGAAATTAATGTTTTCAGAGTCTTGCACAATTAACCAAAGAATCAGTGACTAAAGAAGCAAAAGCAAGAAATGAGAAAAACTATACCAGTGTATTAAAAAAAAACTCAGTACAGGGGTATGTAAAGTTGTCACGAAGAATAACGCATGGCACATTCTACCAGCTGTATAATATTCCTTCATTACAGTAACTACTGTGGCATACATATTCCATTACCAGGTGTTCTCACTCATTCGTTAATGCAGTGAGAATTTTTTCTTCAAACTAACTCTCCAAATTCCACATCTAAACATTCTGGAACACGAACAAACCAATGCTGAATATATGTATGTCCACTGCTTGTAGAACTAGAGATTTTAAAACAACTTGCTAAGGTCTCCCACAAAAAAAAAGAGGAAAAAAATCCCTTTTATAAGAAAAATAAAAGAGGAACCAAAAGTTTTCTGAAGTTAAGTTGTAAGCTTTTAAATGTAGGGACAACTTCCCTTTTGTTCTGTTTCACTTGGAAGAATGAAATCCCCAGGACCAAATACCTCCCGACCCCACAACTCAAAGAATAAAAAAAATTAGCTAGGCTACATTTCTCACCATTTCAAGATGGAGCAAAAGCCCCTGTGACAATGGAAATCTTTCTCTATTTGCAGCAGAAGGGAAAAAACCTCACAATAAGAAGAAAAACACCTAAAGAATGAAAGTTTTCAGGACTTAACCTACCAACTTTCCATAGTTCTATGTCTAAAACCCGGACTATGCATCAATCTTGACTTTTTGCTCAAGTAATCAACTCGGCAATTAATACCTACCAGTAAGTGTGTCTCCTGATAGATAAATGATGCACAGGATTCTTTTATGTGAAGACCTTCCAAGTGACTTTCAAGCTTAAATTTAGTCTCTAACCTGTTAGTATCTCTTACCCAAACCTGGGCAAAACTTCCCAAACTACTAAAAATAATAACATGCCTTGAAGAATAATAGATCACTTCCTTACCCGGTATAGTGCAGGTGACCTGAAGGGTCTTAGCCATCTGAAACTGATGTCAAGACAAATCTCATTCAACCATCCAGGTTAGATTAACACCTTTTGAGAACTTTGGCACATGAAACAGCCTGAAGACGACTTAATCAACCTATATTTCCCTTGGTATAAATAAACATTGAAGCCATCTATCACATTATGCAATATAATTCATAAGGGTACCTCGGTTAACTGGCTAGACTCATGGAGGTTGATATATCACTTCTAATGAGAATGCACACCATTGCACAATCCAATTTATCTGAGCCAACTGCAGACCCTCTCAAATGTTTCACAAATAATTAAACTATATAAATATGCAAAATTCTCCCAGGAAAATTGATCATGACATTTAACTTGCAAACAAGCTGCCCAATCATGGTTATTCTGCATCCATAAGCCAGTTCGTATCATGATTAACCATCATTACCAAGTCGCAAACCACACCATGTAGTTAGAGGTAGGTGTGTATGAGGTACTGTACTGGTAAATGGCCCAGGCCAAGGTTGGCCACCCCTACAAATACGCTAACTCTGGCTCAAAAGAGCAGTAAAAAACAAACTTACCTTATGGATTAGTTAATATAAACCCTAATAATAGTTTTACTTGCATGAACACACCTACAATTGCCTTACTTCCTGTCAAATATTTATCCCTGATGTGTCATAAAGGGGCTCAACACTTTGATTTTGAAGTAAATAAGTAACCATAGGAGAGCCGGTCTACTGTATATCCACTTTCACTGACACAAAGCTAAGAACTTAATTCCAGAATGGCAGAAAAACATTGAAATAAAATACAGTATTCAACAGAAGCCTTGGTGCTTAGTGTAATGATTAACAGACATGACTCTGTTAAGACCTCCTGACTCACAAGGCACTTATTACACCTTATCTCCCCAAATTGAAGAAGAGGATTGGAGGGTGCTTGATTAGCAGGCCAACCCTGGTTAGCATTATAGGTGATGGAAGGGAAACCTTAACTGCTTGTGTTATGTTAGCTCCCTGGCTTATGAGTTCTGTTAGAAAACTTTTGAAAATATTAAAAATAATAGCAAAGTGAAGCTGGATTATAAAAACTGTACAATAATCATAAGTGACTTGTTAACACATTAACCTTATTATCATAAAATTTTCATATCATTCTTAACTTCACTGTTTTCTTGTAACATTATCTGAACCTTTTTTTTATCATTTAAATTTCTAAAAGACATGTCCTAAGTTTTCTGAAATTGTTGGTCTATTTCTACTAACAGAGACAAAGCAGTGCTTCAAAATATTTTTAAATTCAAAATGCTTACTAATGCTCTAATTTTTTTCATCTACAGCATTAATATTTTCATTACTGTATCTAGTACTTGAACTGACCTTAATCCAAAAGCTGAAAGCCTCACTAAGCCACACAAATCTAATGACATGCATGTCCTTGATGGAGAAATCATTTCAAAAGAATACACTCATCATAACTAGATAAAGCTTTCTAAGTGATATGTGAAAAACAAAATGGACTAAAAAAATGTAAACACCAGTAAACTTTAGAGAAGTGAGCAAAGGTCACTACTTATGAATACCGATTCTAATCAATTTAATGAATTTCTCAAATATGGTAATATCACCAAACTAAAACAAATAATAATGTCATAGAGTTAATGAATTTTTTGTGAAAGGACACTTTGGACATATGGAAAATGTATACAATTCATATAAAATTACCCAAAACCATCTGGATGTCTGGTAACCCACTACAAATAGTTAATACAATAAGTTATATAAACATCCAGTCCAAATCCTTATATTGTTACAGAGAGACACTAAATACTGAAAAAAGATAACTTACTGTACCTCAAGCATAATGATATATACATAAATATACAATACTTATGTACAGTAACTAGTTTGGAATAATTTATCTATTGCAGAATACAGTAATTTATCTATTGCAAAAGTTACTATCAAAAGACTCACCTGACATAATGCATACCCCTTCAGCAATTAACCAACATGAGATGTATTTGTACAGAGTTATTTTTGCCCAGAGTCCAACCATCATGTGACGCTGCCACAAAGACAGATCCTAAAAACAAAAAAAGGTTACAATATTATACAGTATAAAAATGGAGTGATTTTGTGGAATGGCTCTCACAGGACACACACAGACACAATGAAAAAGTTTTTCCGTAATATTGAAACACGATATTGCTTAAAAAACATTTACAAATATGATTATAATCTCAATATACACATTACTGCACTTATAAATGTGTGATTAAGGAATTCTTAGTAATAAATACAGTAAATATTGAAAGGTAAAAAATTACAGAGCGAGACCGTCTTACATAATATTCTTCCGAGTTGATAAATGCATCAGGTATATAGCTGATTCCCACTTGATAGACTGCTAGGTAGAAGAGTCCTAAGCCACCACGAAGTAGTCCAGGTATCAAGCATGGTGGCAGCTCACATCCAACCAGTGTTCCCTGTATATACAATTACTCAAATGTTTACATATGAACAAATTTGAAAAAACAAAAAAAATAACGGATTGATCCTTAGATCTTTTATAGCAGTGTCTACCACCAGACAGTTCTCTCATCGTACTGTTTCTTAAATTCCAGGGTGATCCAGAACTAACTTACACCCATTAATGAAACTAAGTGATCCAGTAAGTCAAATATGAAGTTTCTAAAATAATAAGTAAGATAAAACAGTACAGTACACCACTGTATTCAACTCATTCTGTTTGAGGACAGTGAAATGCCTGCAAGGTAAAATATGGGCTGCAGTAGCTCATGAAACAGCTAACAATTTCTTATGACCTTCAAGATAAGGGAGTGCCAGTCTCAATGGAAATCAGAGAGGAACTGAAGTCAATGATTGGTTTGTCCTGAATTCTAAAGATGGCAGATATAGCCTTGGCCTGGAGCATGCTGTACTGATTGGACAACCTCAGTACTATTAGACCTTCTGTCACTAAAGGGCAATTGTTGCACTAAATCCTCCCCATATTGGACCTGATGGTGTGATGGGAAGGAAAAGGTGAGGGATGTTAAGTGTGAAACCCCCCCCAACCCCTAAGAGTCTATAATACCAAAGAAACATGGCTTTTGGATATACAAAGAAGATATTTATAACCAAAATATGAACAACTACATTAATAAAGCAAGGAATGTTAAACTTTCTTTGATGATGGCAGGCTTCCCTACAGCTAACCTCCACTTATGCTGGCCACCGGTTAAGGGTTAAAAGTCAGTTTAACATGTACAGTCCCCTTCACTAATGAGTTTACAGGGGCTCATCATATAAACATTCCACAAATTGCTATCTTTGAGACATTTATTTTAATATTATTTTTAATTTGATTCCATAGTATGTTTACTATTACGAGTTTCCTTGTGTCAAATGTAAACAAACACAGCACTGCCACACTGCACAAAACCTGACGAGCCACTGTAAACACATTCGTGAAGGGGACTGTATATGTCAAGTTGAGCATCATATATCTATTATTGCCCCAAACCTGTGTGGGGTGAATCGATGGACACCGAACCTCCGAGGAGAGAAGGAAATACTTGAGAGACTGGTGCAAGAAGAGTATCCAATTTACATAGTTACCCCTATAAAAGTTCAACACTAACCTTGACAAAATCGAGGTACCGTCGCATAGAGAACTGTGGACCAACCATGAAAGATGCCGGGAAGTATGTGTGAGCTGCAATTTCTACTAGTGTTGGAGTAAATGATAAGGCTGTTTTTTGTTGATCATTTGACAATTTTCCCTGAAAATTATAATGTTTTCAAGAACTTATTCAAATTACTGAAAGCAGTAATACAGCTTCAACATGTTTGCAGCAATACATTATCCCTAAATATCTAAAGGATTTTTTATATCAACACATTGAATACATTTAAGCAACTATCCAGTATTAAATGGTCTATTTCTTCAACATATAATTTATACATGGGGTACTACTACTGTACAATACTTATGATATTCTGTGAAATTATTATAATAAAGGAAAATAATTTGAATACAAATTTTGCTATTTGTATGAGACAGAAAACCAACAAGAAGTTATAATTTTTCATTCCCCGAACAAAACCAATCCAATGAGTTAATAAAACATAGGCCATTTCCTGCTATACTACAGAATGAGTCAAAGTAACATTTAACATCAACCCACTTCATTATATATGTCCTGATGAATTAAGTTTTAATGGTATTAAATATGAGTGGGATGGTCATGCAGTGATGTGTGTGTCAATGACCTGTTGAGTTGAGCGATTCTTACGGCTGGACATGTGTTGATGGGTGATGCTAAGCTGTATGAAGCAAAAGGGATAAAACAGACAGGTACAGTATTGAGGTCTTGCTGAAGAAAGGGAATACCAAAATAAAAATACATCTATAAGAGCAGGAAGATTGAACGAATGAAAGTGAAAGAAGGACAAGCTTGTGTGTACAGTATTTGTTCAATTCTGTCCATTCTGCATTATGGCAGGAAAGGGATTGGAAAAAAAAAAATCTATCACTTATAGGAAAATAACGTAAGTAAAAACAATATCATACTGGATCTTTTCTGCCATCATATACATCATAGGTGAGAGCAATGAGCCGCAAGGTCAGCACACAGTGAGGCATACTCCATTTGATGTCATATGTGTCTGTTCCTGTCATGTAGTAACCTGGAATGTTAAATGTCTATTACTGTGAAGTCAAAAGTGCTAAGGTCCTATTAATAATGTACTACACAATCTAGTTTCTAGTCTTTTTGTTCTGGATACCAATAAAGTACTGTACAGTAATATATAAAAAAATAGGAAGAAAACAAAAAACTCTCATTATTCAAGAGGTTCCTAATCAGTGATAGCAAATGCTTCAGACCCTGTTTAATATCATATACAGTAGTCAAGAGATTACTTTTCTAGACAATACATAAAAAAATAAGGAGACATTGTTTAGTAATCCTGATAAAGACCATTGCATATTTTTTTTTCATTAAGGTCGTACATGTTCCAGCTATGTTTGCCCCACAGTCCTGCACTGTAATTTTACGATATAACCTTAAATGTGCCAAGGGTCTCTGACATAAGGAAGGCTCTACCGGCAACAAAAATTTTTGGTGTGGATTTCGCAGGTGATGCAATGATTACTTGTAGGTCATAATAAACTGGTTATTAATTCTTACTACTGTATGTAATTATTATTTTTTTACTAAAAAGTAGTACTGTACAATAACATTCTGAGCCATCTTACCAACGAGAAGATATGTCATCTGGAAGACAAAGGAAATGATGACAGATTTGAGAGTTCCGCCTATAAGAAGAAGCAGCAACCATGCCACCATGACACACACTGCTGAGTGGACCACATTGTGACCTGAGAACATATTTATTTATTTTTATTAATAAAGAGATTTATGAGGTACACATTAGAGTACTTGCAACTTAATTAAATGATTAAGACCATTAAAGTTATCAAAATCTTATTGTCAGATTTTCTATTCCAGATATCTATTACAAGAACTTACCAACAATAATAACAAACCAAGGACCACAGGCAGATTATCAATATCGTACAAAATAAATCTCATGGGCACTTCTTACTTATACTATAGAGTAATTTAAAGACAGCAGTGAGCAAAAAATTATTACAATATAACTACGTAACAATACAGTACAGATAGGCGGTCAACTTACCATAGTTGAAAAGGGCAATACTAACTCCAGTCACAATGAAGTACAGGTGTTGTAATTTTGGACTTTTGCAGTATAAGGTGTAGCGATGTATTAACACTATAGGATATCCTGGAAAAAAATAAAAGTAACAGTTTAACTCCACATTCATACAACTCTTTTTTTTCTTACACTTTATAGGAATTTTTTTCTTTACATTTTCCCATTTTTAAATTTTTTAGATAATATATCCTATTTTTAGCCCCTAAGTATAAAAAGAAGACAGTACAATACATCCATTGGCTATTAAGACCTTGAACACATGCACATAAACATGGTATTAAGCTCTTCATCTAGCAAATTACTGTATAATGTACTGTATATATTTCAGCTCTGGCTGTTACATTTTTTTTTTAATATATAACCATTTTTAAAGTGATTACGGCATCAAACAACTTAAATTTTTATGACTCCAGATGTACTACATAAAGTCAATCAATCTGGCAATACACTGCCCCCTCACTTAACATGGGTTTGGTCAAGGCGGATTAGCTCAAACACATTTTTTTATTACTACCCGGTATCGCTTAACACTGTAATACATATTGAAGGTTTATCCCCATGGTTTGCCTTTATTGTCTTTTGAAAAGTATACAGTCTACCACTAGGCAACTTGAATTTAGTAAAAATCATCTTGCCAATCCCTTGACAAATCAAAGACTGACTGGAAATCAGTGGCATACCGTGGTTGCACTAATAGGCATGCAAAACACCCACATATATCAGTTATCAAATCAAATATCAAGCAGAATATGGCCTTTCTCTAAATAAGGGTTGTCAAGCTTTTATAAACACCTAATTTCTTAAATAATATCAGTGGCATCTGACAAAGAATCTATTATAAGTCATTAAATAATGGGTGCAAAAATACTGAAGGCAAAAGAATATTAATATTCAGTGTGATCTACAGTAATTTAGAAATAAAGTACAGGGTAGTAAAAAAAAATTACTAGGCATCATGCACAACTCTGGCCCTCTGTAAAGTTGCCAATAAGCTTATTGCTGAACATTTAAATAATTAGTAAATATTTTTATTTATATGATCTGATATTATTATTTGAAGTACGGGTGTAAATCAGAAAACTGAATAGTTTTCCTAAGTGAGAAACTATAACTGAAAGTGGACTGTTGGGTTATTTAGAAATATTAAAAAAAATAATGTAGACCAGTTTTGTCCAGCTGATGGAGAGCCGCTGTCGGTCTACATAGCCTCTTGACAAGTAAATGCAGTTTTCGAAGTGCTTGCACTTGTACCCATTACATTTACAGAAACCTTATTACATAGACACTCTTATGGAACAACTCTGAGGTAATATAATATCACCATATAACATAAGATTTCATGCTTATCAAGGGAAAAGGTATTAAATTTGACTATAATGGCTCAAATTCCTTATGCTCCAACACAATAAAGTTCATTTTATCATGTTATTGATAGGATGGTTATGTCTATATGTCCACTGAGGGCATGCGGCTTATCCTTCTGCATGCATTGAAGGACGCTGAGTCCCCTCGACTTTCCTGAGTGAAAACTGTGAAGACTCTAAAATTATATCTGTATTATTGAAGATACTATTTAAAAATATATTTTGCTTTCTACTAGGCATGCAATGCATGCCTTGCATTCATTAAGAATATGCCACTGCTGGAAATTCTACTTTACAGCTGAGTCAAGACAGAGACCAATACTTTTACCAATTACCTCTGTGGGTTGAGAGCCACACTGTAGTCTGTTTACCCGAAGCTTGCAATTGAGCCCAGGGGTCAGTTTGTAGCAAGGCAGCTGATTGGTTGCCAGACAGACACCCAAAAACAGTAATCAATCGATATTTACTCTACTGCATTATGATATTTTATGGGTTAATAGCTTTACCGTGTCTCTGATAATTTGCAAACTTGAGGAAATCAAAATTAGCAAGTGAAATGCAATGGCAACCTAAATATCTTGATGATAACCAGAAAGAGAGTAAAAAACTTCAGCGACATCTTCCAACGTGCTGCTTGACGTAACATGGTGAGGAGGAGTTTACGTCCCAGAGTTTGTTCATTACATCTGTTCAAGTTCACGTTACAATACGTATTTGTATTACCAGTGTTTCACATGTAAATTTTTGTTTCCCCAATGGCATAAATTTCCAGTTATCAACATAGAAAGGTTATCATCGTTTAAAATATCATAAAATAAATACAGTACAGTATGATAAATTAAATACTGAAGAACTGTAGTGAATCTTTGGATGTCCGGCCGCCAACCAATCAGCTGCTTTGCTACAAACTGACCCTCGGCTTCAGTTGCAAGCTTAAGAGTGAACAGACTATCATAACCACTAAAGGCCAACACTTACTTAAACAACTAGAGCAAAACCTTTATCACTCCGCACTTTATCCAGCAAGCTTCAGTAACCAATATTTTACAGTACTGTATATACTATATACAGGAGGTCCCTGACTTAAGAACATCCGACTTACAAACGCCCGCCGATAAGAACGGGGTTCAACTTGAAATTTACAATATTTTATTTACCTCATGACTTATTTTTTACTTTCATTTACTGTATTTTGTTATTCTATCTCTACTTTTGTCTTAAATTAAGTGATTTTAGATGTATATAAGGACTTAGGCTATGATAGAGTGGGATTTTGAACATTGTTCTATAAGTACAGTATGCACATAGCATGTGTTTCGACTTACGAACGTCCTCAGGAACGGAACCCAGAGAACCCCTGTACATCAATACTGTATTGTGCATATGTTCAATCGATTTATTTATACAAAGTGTAAACCCTTGTTATTCGCAGGTTCACCATTCACTATTGATGGTAAATAGATGGTGGCTAGCTTACGAGCCTCTACGAAGTTCAGTGACAACTTTTGACAACTCACCAGAGCTGAAGGCTATGGCATGCAGTACTGTACAATATTTGACATTTCCAATGTTAATCCAAAGTTGTCACTGACTTGCTCCCAAACCTGATTCTGTGCATTAAAATAAGTTTCTGTAACCCCCCCCCCACCCCCCAAAAATAGTAAAAGCACTAAAATAGAAATTGTAGAGTTTTGAAATTTTCTTTAAAATACAAATACAGTATTACAGTAAATATAGTTATTAAAAGCTCATCTCGGAACTGCAAATATTCAGTAGCTATACAGTAATAGTGAATGTACAGTATGTGGAAAACAATAAATAAATAGGTCTCTGGCAAACTGATAAAATCTATTAGACCTATGATGGATCTGATTTCACTAAGCACTAACCACTAAATTGACAATGCTCATTGAAGGGTTTTTGTCAATTAACTTTAAAGCTACTGTATATGGAGAGTAAAACACGGCTTACTTGCTATTCCCATAGTACTGTATATTCAAAGTAGTTTTTTCTTTTTTCCATCACCAGACTTGTCTACTATGTATGCTCAGAGTTATAATTGTTCCATACAGAAAATCCAAAGATGCTAGGTGTAAACGATTACTAAAATATTAAGTTTGTGAAAGCATACTTGACTTTTCTGATTACTGTAACAACATTTACTTTTTGCCTTTATATAATGAGTTTACAAAGTAGCACACTGCAAATCTGATTTTTGTTGCTCAGCATATCAAGAGTTTGTTTTCATGCACTTATTACATGCAGGGATATATAAATTACTCCAGGTTACACAAGTCTTGAAACTTTGAATTTATAATCAAACAAGACCCACAACCACTCAACTAGGAGTTATATCAGTAGACTTCATCAAATATAACTTAATTCAACAGCAGGTTTTGTGTCTGCTCTCACCACTGTCAATTGGGTTCAAAATTAGCTTACTTAGGATGTGTTAAAGGTGTTGTCTGTTGCTATAGAATCAAACATGGCAGGTCTCCAAATTCCTCCTGTACAAACACTGGACACATGGGCAATGGCCTTCACTGGACCACTAATATCAGTTTGTTACAGTTGACAGAGATATTCAATACATACATAATCCATGATCAATCAAGAATTTAACTTTTACTTGCTCAACAATTTCCTCCACTCAGCTGTTCATTCTTTCCTTATGTAACATGGACAGAGATGAGGATGACCACACGAGGTGTACGGAGATAGATGTCATTGAAAACATACCAAACTTGGGTTAAAGGTCATATGTGTGTAAGTAACATTAGATCAAGACAGTTGTTAAATCATTCACAATAGGGGGGGAATTATTTCATCACTCCCTCCCGGCTTAGTAACGTCACTTCCCCGCCAAAACATTGAATCCCACACACAACTTGTCAAGGAAATGATAGATTAACCAGTTTTTAAGTCATTACACACTCGTACGTCTCTTTACCTATAAGTATAGATATCAGGAGTCGTAATGCAGGTTCTGGCGCTCCCAAAAAATTAGCAAAAGCTTGGAGATAGGTACGGTCATCTGCAGCAACCTCGGCCATGTTTGTTGTCGATGGAACAGCTGATCACAACTGATGCGTTGGTCCCCTTCCCGCACCCGCACCCGCACCCGCCGCATGCAGTTGCCATCAGTGCGTTTTTAGGCTTATTTTAATGGCTTTGCACGTGGAGATAAGATATATAGATAGATAGATAGATAGATAGATTTAGATTTATTCAATAATATCGGCATACACGTTTATACTGATTCATCATATTATGTACACAGATAATGTAGGTATAAAAACAGTGCAATTGAATTTATGTATATTGCAGATTTGTAGACATGGACATAGGCTGTGTTACACGTGGCAATAGAGTTTGATATTTATTCAGTAAAATCGACACACAAGATCACATTGGTTCAGGATAGTATGTAAATAATGTCTTGGCTTGCCCTCAATCTCAACCTTTCTCTAGTTTGTTATTTCTTTTTGTAGATGTGCTATCCATGCTTGTAACTTTGTAAGGAGCATACGGGTGATCAGAAGAGCTACGATTTATATTTCCCTGTTTGGTTGACTTTCTTCACTGTTGCCTTCAATTGCTGCACTGTTTTCAGCGATAGGTGAATACAATGATTGGGTATTTTTTCTTTTCTACAGGTGACAGAATATTATTATTCCCAAAGTACTTGTGTTTTGGGTTATTGTGCCCCGCTTGAAAAGTTACACTTACACATAAATAATTGTCAATAATACCATAATTTGAAACTTACAGTATTAATGTAAATCATCTTGCGTCATCCAGGCTATTTTATGGAAGTCATAATATAACTTCCAGCAAGATTACAATCTGTAGTTTTAAAGGCAGTGTTCTAATACAATACTCAAATTGATGTACTCCCAGATCTGAGCTGAACTGCATGACAATTTTAAATATGGACAAATATTTTTTTTAAGACTCAAGTAGAGAAGCACATGCAGGCTGTATTATATTGAGAGTTACACTTGTAATTTGTAGTGATTTGGGTGGACATTGTGAGGAGAAAAGGTACGCGAAGAGCATAAACCCTAAACTTCTGTTATAACTTTTATCAGGTTATGCTGCGGTTGAGAGTCCAGCTCATTATCAGCCATATATCTCATTTACTAGATAATATTCGCGATCTGTGTGTAACACGACCACAGAATTTACCAGTACTTCACCAAGACGAACTAGACTTGATTAAAGATTCAAGGGGTTTAGTTAAGAGCCGAAATATGTTACATCCCAACGTCTTCCACGAGAAGAATATAAATATGCTAATGAAATGAATAGTGCATTAATAGTCATATTGCAACGCAAAATTATGTATCGGACGCAGATTTAGGTAAGTACTGTAAAATTAAGGGAAAATTTTCATCTGTTGCCACTAATCGAAATTGAAACTTTTCCGATAGTTTTTGACCTTCATTTCTAGAGCAAATCTATAATTTCTGAGATAAGCCCCCATCCCATCTCAGAATCTAGGGATTTGCTATAAAAGTCAAGAAAAAAAACTGTTCAAAACCTAAAAAAAAAACACCAGAAAAACATTCGTTCCAGTACCGCCACGTATACCAGCATACATAATAAAATGTTAAATGTCTCACTTATGTGTAATTAGCTCCAGAAATGTCATTGAAGAAAAGTGTCTTAGAATTTTAAAAATTACCTATTGCAATTATAAAATTCACGAGATTCGTTTAGTGGCACCACGTGAAATAATACCGAATTAAGATGGGTTTAGGTTACACATTATTTGAGAAGCAACTTATTTACAGAAATGGACAGTTTTCTGATGTCTTGGAATATGTAAACTGTTATGTACATTGAAGTATGGTCATTCATATACATATCGATCTAACTTAGACGTACTGTATAAGATTCTTCGACAAAAAAATGCATTTGTGATTTACTACCAAAAATATTCACCATCGACTATCAGTTGAAGTACTGTTATTATAGTTTGACCTCAGTATTCTCTCACATAATCAGTGCTGGTAATGTGCAGTACCTTATAATACTGTATATTTGAGTGAGACAAAACATTTTAGTTTCAGTTTTACATGCTGCCTCGTTTTTCACTTGTCGATTGTTATACACAATATTGGAACAATGATCTAACTGGGAATTGGCGTGATATACACGAGCTGGATTAATATTAATACACAGGAATACCCAAAATCTAAATTAGAAGAATGGAAAGGGGCTTAGGGAGCATGGAACAAATAACCAATACATTACTTGACTAGAATCAACATGATCGCCTTAGAAAAATTGGAGTTAAATTTGTAATTACTGAATGGAAGAAATATGAAATAAAAGGAAAACAGCGAGTCTCATCCGTGAGGGAGGTAACGAGTACATAAGAAGAAATGAACTCACGGGGACTCAAGGAGGGACTTGACTAGGAAACAAACACTGGGGTAAAGGTGTAAACAATTGCTTGGCGAGCCTCGCTGCAGCTTCCACTCCCAACCTTTTACAGTGCACAAGTGCTTCAGGTACTACACTATACCTTACCATATGGCCATCAAGGTTTGAGACTTGCACCAACATCCATATTAGACAATTAGTTCCCAATGTATTTTTTCAGTGACAAATACCCTCATCCCAGGATGTAAGGTGGTGCCCAATAAACTAGCCCCCTCGGGAGCAAATCTGAATACCCTCATCCAATGTTATTTCGTCTTTCCCAGCAAAGAAAACTGATGCCTTACAATATTGCAGATTCTTTACATTTAAAATATATCTTAAAAAGAAAAAAAAAACGTTTTTAGTTTGCATTACCGGCGAGGAAACTTGGTGTGGTTAGTAGTTAGTGTAGTAAGGAGAGAGATGACATCAAAACTCAGTTAAGCTTACGGCAGCCCTCACGGACCACATAATAGCTCAGAACATAAGAACATAAGAAAATAAGGAGTCTGCAATAGGCCGGTTGGCCTGTGCATGGCAGCTCCTGTCGAGAGTTACTACCACTCTATCATCCATGAATCTATCCAGCCTCCTTTTGAAACTTTCCAGCGTTCCAGCACTTACTACAAAGCTGCTAAGCTTGTTCCACTCGTCCACCACCCTATTTGTGAACCAGTTCCTTCCTATCTCCCTCCTAAACCTAAACTTATCCTACTTAAATCCGTTGCTCCGAGTCCTATCCTGCTCGGATATTATAAGAACTTTATCTATATCCCCTTTATTGATTCCTTTCACCCACTTAAATACTTCTATCATATCTCCCCGCACTCTTCGTCTTTCTAGGGAATGCAAGTTAAGTTTCTTTAACCTATCCTGATATGGAAGGTTTCGCAACAGGGGAGGTGGATACCAGTGAAGTAAACAAGATTCTAAGGTCCATTGCTACAAGTACCAGAGAATTTAAAAAACAAAGTAGCTATAGCGCAGGAGGTGGGCGCCTCGAACTGGTTAACTACGTTACCGATAAGGGCAAATGGTTTCAGTCTCAATAAACAAGAATTTACAGATGCCAATGCTCTAAGGTACGGTAGGCCAGTAGAAGGTTTGCCCTCCCAATGCGTGTGTGGCTCTTCCTAGGACGTCGATGACGCCATGGTGTGCAAGAAAGGGGGGCTTCATATGCATGAGGCATGACGAAGTAAGGGATCTCACAACAAATATGTTGAAGGAAATCTGCCGTGATGTCAGAGTAGAACCGACCCTCCTTCCATTGGACAGTGAGATTTTTCAACATAGGACTTCAAACACATCCAACGAAGCCGTGTTGACGTCAGTGCTCGAGGATTCTGGACGCGGGGACAGCGAGCCTTCGTCGACATCAGGATTTTTTATCCCATGGCCGCATGTCACCGTAACTTAGCTCTTGATGCTGTACACAGGAGGAACGAGAACGACAAGATAAGGGCATATGGGGAGAGAATTCAGAACGTTAATCAAGGCAGCTTCACTCCTCTAGTGTTCACAACCTCTGGTGTGATAGGACCAAGTGCAAGATGCTTCTACGCCAGACTCGCCGAGGTGATATCCGAACAGAAGCAGCAGCCCAAAAGTCATGTTACACCCTGGATGAGATGTCGACTGTCCTCTCTCCTTCGGTCGGCTTTGCTCTGCCTCAGGGGAACGAGAGCATCTGCCCCAAAGCCGACAACAGTTGCAGATATTGACTATGAGGCTACAGTCACTGAACGCAGCATAGATCTGCGGCTCAACTAACTCAACACAGCTAGGATAGCTACTTATTTATCAGGATATTTAATATTAAGGTAATAAAATGGTGGCGAAGGTATGTCTATTGGGGGAGGCTGGAGCCCATTTAAAAACAAAAAAAAAGGGAGAGAGAGGACCCTCAATGGGGCCGTCTTGATAACCTATATTGACGCTTATCGTAACTGATAACAACCCTACCGCTGTAGGTGTCCCATTTGTCACTGAAATGAAGACAGTTTTCTCTATTCCTTATAATTCCTTCTACATTATCGGTAGCGCTACAGACTGTACAAAACCTTTTCAAAACCATATGAACGAACATTGACTGATGACGTCACAGTTGATAATTGACAAAAACAATAAAAAATTGTCGAAGCTTAAAGACTTTCTGAAAAATCAAATAATTCTCAAAGTATAAACTTCCCAATTGAGTCATTTTTATGGAAACTGTTTAGCTTAAATTTATAAGGATTTACATAGAGTATGTATGGTCTCCTCTGACAACCAGTTAGCCGCTGATGCATGAAAATACAATATGATGCAAATATCAACAATAAACTGACTTTTACGTTTTAAGTTCTATGGTATGTCAAACAGTATTTAACACAAGTGATTATTCACTTACGGTTATTTCCATTCTATTCCTGAAGTTATTTTTTAATCTGAACTATGACGACGTACTTACTAAAGTTAATCACAATATTCACTTATTGTAATTTTCAATCTATTCCTCAGTTTATTTTTAAACCTGAACTATCAAGACGTACTTACCATAGATGAAAACTCACTCTGGTTATATATTTCTATCCCAGTTGAAAAATGATTCATTTTATGCTATTGTCTTGTTAATGGAGATGTATCAAGAGCTGCTGCCAGTGTCATTATATTAGTTCATTGTAAACATCTTGTGGAAAGCCCAGGTTATGATGTTGGGGTCAGTGTTTTAGTGTTGGGGTCAGTGCTATGGTGTTGGGGTCAGTGTTATGATGTTGGGGGTCAGTGTTATGCTGTTGGGGTCAGTGTTATAGTGTTGGGGTAAGTGTTATAGTGTTGGGGTCAGTGTTATGATGTTGGGGTCAGTGTTATGGTGTTGGGGATTAAGTGTTAAAAGGGGGTCAGTTGGATGTTGGGGTCAGTGTTATGCTGTTGGGTCAGTGTTATAGTGTTGGGGTGTTATAGTGTTGGTGTTGTTGGGGTCAGTGTTATGCTGTTGGGGTGAGTGTTAGGTAAGTGTTATAGTGTTGGGGTCCAGTGTTATGATGTTGGGGTAAGTGTTATAGTGTTGGGGTCAGTGTTATAGTGTTGGGGTAAGTGTTATGGTGTTGGGGGTCAGTGTTATGGTGTTGGGTCTCAGTGTTACGATGTTGGAACAGTGTTATAGTGTTGGGGTAAGTGTTATGGTGTTGGGGGTCAGTGTTATGGTGTTGGGTCTCAGTGTTATGATGTTGGAACAGTGTTATAGTGTTGGGGTAAGTGTTATGGTGTTGGGGTCAGTGTTATAGTTTTGAGGTCAGTGTTATGGTGTTCGGAACAATGTTATGGTTTTAGGAACAATGTTATGGTGTTAATGCCACAGTCAGTGTTACGGCATTAAGGTCAATGTTGGGATCAGTATTATAGTGTTACGGTGTTCAGCAGTGACAAGACCCTACCAGAGTTTTAAATAATCCAACCCTTCATGGTCTCCTGGTGTGAGACGAGTGTGGGGGGGGCGTCTTGGTTGTTCCAAGAATTCTCCCCAAATCATTCTGATATATCCACCTCTTTCTTTACTTCATTACTGTAATGAGGGAGTTCTTAAATGTAAGGCATCGAACTATGAAGAATATTTAATAGGGGGATTGTAAAGAGAGGAAGTTTGGTAGCGTGGGCGGTTAGTTATTTTACTGTAAATACGTCCTTAGGGGAAATCTTTCTAAACACCAATTCTAAGTACAGCTATTTATTATTCACTCAATGGTACAGACATATTATATTTACGTTACTAGACACTGACTCTCGGACGTAAACATGAAATGGATACACTTCCTACTGTAAGTAACTCACCCTATGGATAGCTCTGACAATGACCCACGTGTGACCTGAGGGAGGCCCGGCAGGTGCTGCTGGACTATGTCTCCTATGGGAGACTCTGCTAGTTGGAGACGCGGTGTTGGGGAGGGAAGTCTCCCTCCCGACCTCGACTAGTGACGAGCGTGACTCCGTTTTCTTGTTTCAGTGATATGAAAGTAATGTCCCCTGGAATGAGCTGCAGGGCCTTTATATATTGGAGGAGAGCCGGCAGATGACCTCTCCTTATTAACACTAAGCTGGTTAGATCTGGACGGCTGTGTTTGTCCAGGTGCGTGATCATGTCGCCGGTTGGTAATGCTTCCTAATTATTACCACCCGGGTGTGTCTTGGCTCGGTGTGGTTTCTTTAATAGCGTCATGTCGCCGGGTTATGTTAATCGCGTGGCGGTGAGGACTCTGGGTCAATGAGACTGACCTCTTTTGGGTCAGGTCTGGACAGCTTGTTCAGGTGTAGTTTCTTGGGTAACACGGTCATAACGCCGGGTTAACTCAGGTACCTCGTGGCCGTGACCTCTCCTGGGACATATTCATCTCACTGTAGGGTGTCAACCTACATGGGTTACCACGAGGGCATCTACTTACTGTTACATATGCTGTTCTTCTCTGGGCTGTAAGATATGGTTTGATAATCATTACATTACCTTAAGGTTTTTTCTGGGAGTTTCTGTCTTGATAAGGATATCAATTAATAATACAAGAGATTTAAGTCTAATTTAGATAATATTTTATTTTATATAAAAATAACGTATAGAATTTAATACACAATGTACATGTAAGTGTTAATGGGCAGATTAGCAATTTACAACTTATTCCATTCAATTCTTCTATACAAACAGGTCGGAAGCATAACATAGTTGAATATGATCTTTGCAAAATGGTAAATATGCCAGAGGCAACAAATAAATTAAGTGCTTGTTGGTAGTGGGAGCAAGAGAGCCAGGAAGCCGACAATATCAATGAGTTGGGGACCAGAGTGTGAGCACCAGCCACACCCTCTCCCGTGCACGCTGACCACACTGTAGTGCACATACTGGGCCACACCAGGGCGACAGCAGACGCACTGGTGGAGCCTCTACATGTAGAATACATATACATCCAGAGATCACATTCCAGTAGTCCAGGTTAGGGCGTTCACAAAGCCTTGGGGTCGCTCGTGTTAAAGCTGTATACCTTGCGCGTCTCGTAATTTTTGGTGAAGGTTCGTTTCTTGGTGCCGTCAGGGAGGACCTCCTCGTTGGAGCCCTCAGCGTGGCTCTCCTGTTCGTTTCGCTTCTTGTTGCCCACCACCGAGCCGTCCGCCCCCTTCAGATTTGTGTTTTCGCTCAGGACACGGTTGGTGCGTGTGACGCCTGGCGCTGGTTTGTCCTCCCAGCGTTGCTCTTGACGCTCTGTGACGTTCTTGCCAGAGGTGATAACGTCGCGGCTAGTGGACACTCCTGCAGGCGGCCGAACCAGGGCGCTGGATGGAGTGGAGATGTCCACAGTTGTTGAAATCGATGGCGGCGATGTTGGTTGATCCATGCCTGACTTTACAGAGTGGCGACGCATCATGTCTTCCATTTCTCGCTGAGACTTTTCTACCATTTCGTTAAAGGAGGTCCAGTGGTCACGAGAGGAGTGTTCCACCACCTCCGTGTTGAGTGGCGTGTGAGTGGTGCCCCGAGCATCATGTGTCTTCTCATCGGCGTGCAGAGGAGTGTGGGACAGGTAACGCCTATCAGACCCGTTGTCATTGTCGGGCACGGCGGTCCTGGTGGTGAAGGTGGTGGATCCGTTCTTCTGGCCGCCGGTGATGGGGATGCTACGCTGGCCGGAGGTAACCTGATTGGCCTGTCATACAATGCTCAACATAAACAAAACGAAGCGCTATAGCAGGTAGGGGGGGGGGGGTTAGCATCACTAGAGCCAAAACGAAAACAAATGATTGAAAATAAAACTTATGCAGTGTTAACTACTCATACGTCACATAAAGTTGCCTTCTACTTCTACATAAGCAAGAAACAATATAAATATCATCAGTCATAGTGAAATTATTCTTTATTAAAGTCATAACTTGAGTATCATATGTCCAAATACTACTTTCTAGATCTGTATAATAACACCAATGACACTGATTGTCATTTATTGGATATCTAATGAATTTATTTAAAGATTGAGATGACGTGAGGTTGGGTTAGGTTAGGTACTGGGGATCAAGGTATAGATGGGAGGGAAGGGGTAAATTATCACGTTGTAAGGGGGGGGGGGGAAGTCAGCAAGGTAAAGGCATAGGGAGGAGGGGCTAGGCACTTACCAACTTTGGGGCATTGACAGTGAGCACACCGTCACGGGACAACGCGGAAGACACGGCGTTGAGTTCCACAGAGGGAGGCAGCATGAACCGACGAGTGAACATCTGGGTGGATACGGCGTTGCCTTCCTTCTTCTCTATCTTGCCTTCCACCACCACAGTGTCGTCCACAATCTTCACGTTGATGTCCTCGGGTTTGAAGTCTTTCACGTCAATCATCATCTGTCGAGTTGTAAACATTGAGGGTAGTGAAGAGGTCGAGTTGTAAACATTGAGGGTAGTGAAGAAGTCGAGTTGTAAACATTGAGGTTAGTGAAGAGGTCGAGTTGTAAACATTGAGGTTAGTGAAGAGGTCGAGTTGTAAACATTGAGGTGAGTGAAGAGGTCGAGTTGTAAACATTGAGGTTAGTGAAGAGGTCGAGTTGTAAACATTAAGGTTAGTGAAGAGGTCGAGTTGTAAACATTGAGGGTAGTGAAGAGGTCGAGTTGTAAACATTGAGGGTAGTGAAGAGGTCGAGTTGTAAACATTGAGGTTAGTGAAGAGGTCGAGTTGTAAACATTGAGGATATTGAGGAGGCGAGGCGAACACTTCACACCTCACTTCCGTCGTAACACAGTATATCGTGCGCTACTATTTCCTACCCTGCTGTGTTAAATATTTTAATAATGCTTAGAAATCATAAGGAAAAATAATAGGTAAACATCATTAAAATGTCAAGGTGTGTGGCATCTGAGCATTATAAGTGTGAGATATAGTCTATGTATACGCTGGAGAGAGACTGAGAGGGCTCTTCACCTTGTACTTGTTGTCCTCCTCTGTGCACGACACGGCTTGAGAGTCGTCGGAGGTGACATTAGAGGAGCGAATCTGACGGTAGACTGAACGGGTCTCAGGCTGAGAGGTGGTGGTGGTAGTGGTAGTGGTGCCGGTGCCGGTGTTCTCCCAGCGGTCAACCACGTTCTTCATGGCTTGGTCCCACTCCTGCCATGAGTCCTTAAAGAAGGGGTCGTCGCCAAAGGTGCCACGCTTCTGCACAGTCACGGTCTTGGTTGTTTTCGTGCCCACCATCTTGGGGTTATTGGGTTGTCGTCTACCTGTAGAAGAGATGTATTAAGAATTCAGAGAGTATCGTTTCGCTTTTTTCCCTGTCTTAATATTCGAGGTAATGTTTATTAAGCATCGAATAATTTTAAATTGTTTATTTGACTCAAACGCAATAAAATGTTGATTGGGGTGAGCAGGTGAGAGGGGAGCAAGAGTCGTCTGGCACAGCTCCAGGTGTAGGGTGGAGCCCGGCCCTGCTTCCACCACCACACACTGCATCCACCTCCAGCACCACACACTGCATCCACCTCCACCCTCCAGCACCACAGGTAACGCTCCCTACACCTAACACACTACAATAAGCTAAAAACGTATATCATATTTTGGTCTAGCGACGATATATTAAATTTTAACGGAATATGTCACCTATGAAGGAATTTTTTTTGTAGGGTTAAATTATAAGGAAATATATGTGAAGTAATGGAAGTATTATAATTAAAAGTCTTTACCCTCAGGTATGTACATACGTGTATGTGCGTGACTAATTAGGAATGAAAACAAATAAACACTCTTGCAGGAAATTCATTCCTTTGAAAAAAACAGATGAATGTCGGAGTTAATCTTGTGTAGTGTGGAGGAGGAGGTAATGAGTGGTAGTCCTTGTGTGGAGGGGCTGGGGGTCAGGGTGTGGAGCAGGAGGGAGAGGGAGGTCATCCCAACTAACTGGTCATGATGGCCTTCAGCGGCAGACGCTCCTCCTGCCTCGTCCCCCCCCCCTCTCCCTCATTATCAACGCCCTCTCTTTATTTCACTTCACTGTTTTTAAATTTTCTTATCTACGTGTTCGTGTAACTTTCTCTGGCCCAAGTGATGTGTGTGTGTGTGTGTATGTGTGGGCGGGAGAAAGAGTAGCCCTGCCACCACGCCCATACATGGTTACCAGACATCTCCCGTACCACTCCCTCCACTCACCCATCACCACCACATGACCTACCTAAATTAATACCTCACAGGCGGTATCGTAGGGCATTATGTTCCCGCTGATAGGTACTACTTCATGGAAGCTGCCCAGCAACAAACGATGGACTCATATTGAAGATCACACATTAATTACACAAGAGGAACATTATATATATACACAAAATATACTCTTTTGACTTTGACCTTGATACGCTGCCTCAGTAAGGTCACATATCATCTACGAGGTGTAGTGTATGACAGGCGGAGGTCACCAGGGGGAATTAGAACTAGTCTCTTCTGGGCTCCTGTAAACAAGTTTTTCTTAGACATTATGTAATGGATTACTTTGATAATCTGTTGTTTACATCATATATCCCTGGGAGTGATATATTTATTTTAGATAAATAGTTATAAAAATTGGTTAAGGATTAGATAAAAAGAAATCCCCTTATATTATGATTTTTTTGTTTATAAATTTCACGTAACCTTTGGCGAGGGACGTGTGAGTACTGATTAGTTGTGGTATTTATTGATGGTTCTTGACCCATAGACGACGATGGTTTAGTTCCTCGAGGGTTATAATATCTTCTTAACTTAAACTATCGTTCTCAAAGGGTTAATGTCGGGATTCAGTGTGTGTGTGTTGGGGGGCGGCCAGGTTACCACTTCTGCTCACTGTATCATTGCCACCTTTTAACCGCCCATTGTATCACTGCCGCCCACTGCATCATTACCACAAAGGAAACGGCTGTAGCTAACCTAACCTAAACCAAACCTCATCTCAACAAAGCATACCACCATATAAATGACTCGTATACGGTATAGTGTAAATAATAACTACGTAATTGATGAAAGTAATATGAAGTAATGGCGAGGCTGGACCAACACAGGTCTTCGGGGCAGGTCAGATAGAACAATTATTTATGTTCGAAGTGATACTCGCCTGAATATCTCTATACGCCTATCTCTCTCTGTCTATTAATCTATCTATTTCCTTATCTGTTTACCTCTTTCTCGCCCTCTCTCTATCAATCTATCTCTTTCTGTCTCTATCTATCGCTCTCTATCAATGTCTTTCTCTCTTGCTCTATCAATCTATCTCTTTCTGTCTCTATCTATCGCTCTCTATCAATGTCTTTCTCTCTTGCTCTATCAATCTATCTCTTTCTGTCTCTATCTATCGCTCTCTATCAATGTCTTTCTCTCTTGCTCTATCAATCTATCTCTTTCTCACTCCCTCTCTGTATATATACAATATATAGATATGTGTGTGGTTATTCGCAACATACATTGATATCTGTAATCTCATTTAAACACATAATTCCAGTTATACTACCAGACAGAGACACTGGTGAGGAGCGAGTGAGGGTCGGGTGGCCGCCCCGCTCACTACTGTATGGAGACTTGAACGCCTCGCGGCCTGTTTACTAGTACCGCCACGCCCGCCCTCCTACACATACAAACACACATCCACCCACACACACACACACACACACACACACGCACACACACACACACATCCACCCACCCACACATCCACACACATTAGTCTTACGTACATCTTTTCTCAAAACGGTTTTGTCATCCACTTTCCTTGATTCATTATGCGGTAATTCTCCTGACAACATTATTATTTTGTTTATCACACTGTCACCAGTTTGTGGTCATTATTGTGTTTACTGTTTATGTTTGTTAGTAAAGATAATGCAGCTTTTGACGTGTCACTGAATCATGTTATAAATCCAAGTGAACTGCATATTTAATAGTGTGTTCGATGAGCACAATATCAACACTACACTCACCTCACTAAAACAAAACACACTCTAAACTTCCAGTACGGAGGTGTTGTGATGCACTCAACGTCTCACTACAGACAACTGCCGAGGCTACACGGAGGAGACCTCCTTATATACCCACACCTGCCCCCGCCCACTGGGCATTCGCCATCTTGAGCATTATTTTCATCTGGAATTCGTGCGATTTCTCAGTAAAGCTCACAGGCACTTGTCTTAGAACGATATTTTATGGAATATGAGTGCAAAACAGTATATTAGATAACAGGTGACGATGTCGCAGAGCACAGATACCGTCACATTCTAAAACATAAAACCAGGGACCGGCTGCTGTAGCTTCCATAATAATCTTTTACTGTGAGCATATATTGTTATTTGTCCTAATTATTTGTGTTTTTGTGTGTGTGTGTGTGTGTGTGTGTGTGTGTGTGTATGTGTGTGTGGGAGAGTGGGCGTCCTCGTCTCTGACGTCACTCTACGTCATATACTATTGGGGCGGCTGACTCACGCCTGCCCACGCCTCCGCCACCATCACACTCTCACATTTATCACACTAATTTTCTTAATTGCTACGATATATGTAAACCTAATCATAAAAGTAAAATATGTATATTTTTTGTGGTCGTAACGTAAACAAAGAAAGTATTGGGAGCGTTTGGGGAGACGTTTCCATGTGGCGAGGGTTGGAAGTGACAGCCGTACATGGGTTCACCAGCACCTCGCCAACATGACCAAAAATAGACGATAAAATCCACGGGCACAGGTGAGGGGTAGCGGGGCAGCGGGCAGTATCCCACATGGGGCAGGACCTGCCCACCACCCCTACGGCTAGGGGCGTAGGGCGAGGATCTGACTGAGTCTCGCGCCGCCTTAGGCAGTTTTTACGGCGCCGCCCTCGTGTGGGTATCAGTAATGAAGCATCGTAGCATCTCGACTGCTGGAGGCGCTGGCTGGCACCCACACCTGCCTGGCTATAATTATAAATCTTGGTCTTAGGAAACGACGACTCGTGATGATAGGTTGTCTTCCGGTAGTCAGTGTGAGAGTGACGCAAGACCCGCCCTCACCCACCCAGTTATATCATGACCCCTTCCCCTCCCACCCACCCACCCACCCACCCACACACACACCTTCACTACTCTCCCATAACACCTAATAACTACTACTACATGATCGCTGGCGTCACTTAGTCACAGCCAAAAATGGAAAATATAGTAAAGTTACTAATAATAATACTAATAATAATAATAATAATAATAATAATAATAGGAATAATAATAATAGGAATAATAATAAATCCTTTAATTTCAGAAATACATCAATGATACTATATATAAATATTTAGAAACCCAAATAGAACAATGTCACTATGTTCAGTAAGCTCCAAGTGTGTGTGTGTGTGTGTGTGTGTGTGGATCCACTGTTTACGCGCGCACCTAACTGTGTCATGTGTGGTGGTGTAGAAGGGTGGCCGTGCCCGTGGTAAAAACTCAACATTAGACACTCCTTCCCACCTAAAAGCGAAGGTGCACAACAGACGTATTACACATATGGAACACACACACACACACACACACACATTCTCTCTCTCTGATGGTGTGATGGAGATGAGGGGGTGGAGAGGGTGTGTGGGGTAAGGGAGATGATAGAAGAGGAAGTAAAGGTGGGGAGGGAGGATATTGAGGAGGGGCTGGGGAGGTGGGGAGGAGTGGGGCATTGAGTGGGGGCTGGGGGAGGTGGGGAGAGGGGTATTGAGTGGGGCTGGGGAGGGGAGGGGGGAGGGGGTATTGAGTGGTGGGGGCTGGGGAGGGGGAGGGGAGTGGGGTATTGAGGTGGGGGCGGGAGGTGGGGGGTGGGGGTATGAGGGGGGGGGGGAGTGGGGGTATTGAGTGGGGGCTGGGGAGTGGGGGAGGGGGAGGGGGTATTGGAGTGGGGGGCGGGGGAGGGGGCATTGAGTGGGGGCTGGGGAGGTGGGGAGGGGGGGAGGGGGGTATTGAGGTGGGGCGGGGAGTGGAGGATTTGTTTAACTGTCAGAGGAGCGTCATATACGTCAGGTTGGTCTGAGAGATTCTAATATAATCCAACTTTTTTATGTCGCGTCTCATGTTACACACCTCACCCAGCACCCTGTTGGCGTACCGGTGTGTGTGTGTGTGTGTGTGTGTGTGTGTGTGTGTGTGTGTGTGTGTGTGTGTGTGTGTGTGTGTGTGTGTGTGTCATCTCGTATTGTTACTTATTTTACCCATTTACTTCCTGTTTCTTGGGATCCAATTGAGGATTTATTGACCCTATAGTAGATAGATAGATAGATAGATAGATCGCCATAGTTTACAATTGGTTCAGCATGTATATAGACATGTATACAGTTCAGTATGTATGAAGAGTTATTCCAAGAGGACACCTTTCCTTACGGTTTCTGTAGCATTTTTTGGCCATTTGTCTCTTGTTTACATTTTCCGTATACCTGCTGTTACCTGGACGACGCCAGCTGCCCTAAATTATTAATATATTATAAGACGTCCTCAAGTTTATTGTTGTACGGGATGATGTGACCAGCTTGAGAAATGTATTTGGTTAAGTTCATTGGCGAGTAGAAATATTGTCGTGAAAATTTTATATATAACTGACAGAAGGGTAATGTACAGTATGTGTGTGTGTGTAATAATAATAACAATGGCATGGCAGCCAGAAGGGTGAAAATATACAGTTGCATAATTGGGATATAGGTCACTTGATTGACAAATAATATACAAGTAACATAAGTGATACAAATATGATATATAATAACTAGGTGGGGAGAAGGTCATACTACAGGGCATTTCAACATAGTAACAGTGCAAAAAGGTACGATTGGCTGGGAGTGAACACACTGGTTGATTACGAGTTGTTGGATGCGGTTGTGGTGTCGAACAGCAATTCGGTGACGAGGGATCTCGGGTGGAAGTAGGAGTCGGTATCGAGGGTGGTGCCAAAGCTTCTCTCCAAATTTGCAGATGAGGTCGTGGTGGTGGTCAGAGAGAGCCGAGAGGGTCAATGAGTTGAGCGCTTCTTGATATGTGGAGTAGGAAGGAGAAAGAATCATCTTGCCTGCCTCTTTTGCATTTTTTCTATGTGTTTCCGTTGTGTGGCATTTAGGGAGGAAGACCAAGAGGAGCTTGGGAAGTATGAATGTTGAATAAGCACTGAGGAGCTTGGACGCAGGAACTCCGAGGGGCTTGAGTTGGCGGAGAAGGTGGAGACGAAAACTGGAGGATTTGACAACTGTACTGACGTGTGTTTTCCAATTTAGTTTGTAATCTATAGCGACGCCGAGGAGCTTGGTGGAGTCCACAACCTGGAGTGTATTGGTGCCCAAAGTAATGGGGGGAGATGTGAAAGGTCAAAGGAATGGTTGATGTACATAACCATGGTCTTGGTATGGTTGATGGTGACATGGTTGTTAATGGCCCAATTTTGGAGATTGTTCAATATATTCTGGAGTGCGGTGTAGTCGGGAGCCGAGTTCACACTGATCCCAATGGTGGAGTCATCGACACATTTCCAGCGAGCAGGGGTTTCTCTTAGAGCATCATTGATAAGCATGAGGAAGCAGTGCGGTCTCATCTTGGTGCCTTGGGGGACGCCACAGGTGAGTGACTGAAAAGTGGAGACAGCCCCTCGGAAGCATACGGCTTGGCGTCGGTCACTAAGGAAGTCTGTAAGCCACGGAAAAAGACTTCTCGGAAACCCGAGGTCGATAGCTTTGTTGATGATTAAATTGTAGTCGACTAGGTCTAATGCTTTGGTGAAGTCAATGAAGGCGATAGCTACAGACGTCTTTCGTTTTTCCAGATGGCGGTATATGTAGTCGAGAAAGCTGACAAGACAGTGAGTGGTGGAGGAAGTTTTTATATTGCCAAATTGCTGAGAATCAATGGCGCCTGTCAAACACGAAACTTCCACAGATTAAGCTGGATATTAGGGTAATGGCAATGGGTTGTAGCTCATTTAAAGATTCTGGGTTGGTTGACTTGGGCACTGGTGACACATATGAGGTCTTCCAGTGTGTGTGTGTGTGTGTGTGTGCACCTTGGTCTCTGCTACCTCGACCTCTAGTCTTCCTCTTCCCTTATCGGGAGTATTTCTGCCACGTCATCTACATGTCACTTGTTCAAGTGTTGCTACTGAGTTATGCGAGTGATTGTGTTTTTTGTATTGCAGGCGTGTTTCAGCTGTTTCATTATGTTAATATTTCTTGTCCCTAAGTAACAGGTGTATAGTGTCCCTCAGTTTAAGGTATAGTGTCCCTAACAGGTGAAGTGTCCCTAACAGGTGTAGTGTCCCTAACAGGTGTAAAGTCCCTGGCAGGTGCGGTGTCCACGCCACTGTGTACATCCTAATAAAGTCATTACTTCTCAACCAGGGAAGCTGCCCAAGTCGAACCAGTCTATTAAGGCTCTTCTCCTCTTCCTTCCTCGTTTGTTAATATGTCTACCACTCGGGTCTTCCAACTCCTGGCTTATCAGTCCCAGTGCTTCCTCTCTTATCTGCTTCTTCTCTTATCGCTCCTAACTCTCTCATATACTTTACGGTTATACAAAAGTATTCATTCATCAATCAACACCTGGGAGAGATGATTTATAATACACGATGAGGAAAGTGCCAATCATTGTAGGATTATCAGGCCTGATAAACGGTTAGGGTTAAGTTCCTAGGTTTGGACCCCATAGATTTAGCTTGGACCCCATAGATTTAGCTTGGACCCCATAGATTTAGCTTGGACCCCATAGATTTAGCTTGGACCCCATGGATTAGGTTTGGACCCCAGGGATTAGGTTTGGTTAGGACTGGGAACCCTTTAACCTCGGGAGGAAAGGGAACGAGCGGGTGAGGGGCAGGTAGGGGACAGGCACAGCAGGGGAAGGGCGGAGGGGCCGAGAGGGTATGGCAGGGGACGGGTAGGAGATAGCAGGGTTAAGTGGTACTGAGGAATTTTTCTGTGGTTTGTGTTTGGTTAAATTATCCCCAGTGCTAATAGACCCTTAACCAACTTAACCTAATTTAACTTAACCCAAACTAACCTAACCTAATCTAATCTAATCTAACCTAACTTAACCCA